GTAGAGCTTCTTGAAGGATCCTTTAGGAGTATTTGGGCATAAGCATAACTACCTACAATCCATGCTACAAATTTCACGCCTTGGGAAATCTGGTTCCCGTCTCTAGACCACCACGACCGCCAAAACCACGACCACAAGCACGGCCACGACTACAGCGGCGAAGACTTGTCCTTCTCGGGCCTGAAGCAGGCCAGGGTGAAGTCTGTAGAGAGCCAGTGGTACAACGAGCACGAACAGGAGGTGTTCAACAGCGTTCTCTGCACAGTCTCCGATGTAGGATTGCCCTGCAAGATGGGGGACATACCAAGAAAAAAAAAGAACGCTTTCCATTCACTCACTAAATGCGACAATTATCTTATTATTTATTGAAGTGCCCTGTTCTATCATACGAACACTTTCGCTCGTTTATGTCATCACACATGTCACACAGTCAGTTCAAAGCTACCTGCAGCACGGTTTACTTTAATCTGACTGTATCACATAAGGAGCATTTCAAAGAGGGAACACAGGTAAAATCAAAGACATTCGGGACGAACGTTTGCGCTTCAAGGAACCTTTATAAATTCAACTATCGCCACGTCGGTTACATTAAATAAAGCAGCGTGAAATTGATTAGTATTTTATTTAAATAATGCTTCCGGCTATAATTTATTTAAATTGGGATTATGAAATCAAGATGGCTCTTTACAACAATCAAAGTAGCCTCAAAGATTGTGGAACCCGAGCAGGTCATACAGTCCTACATTTTCTTGAAGTAATTTTCATAATATCTTAAAGAAGAACCGGAGGTTAGTTTGTCTGCATTAGCCTCGAGGGGACCTGGAGTTGAATAAGTTATAATTTGTATTTTAAACATTACCCGCCTTCCTTGACGCCAGCACGACCTCGGGCCCCTGTGGTGGGCAAGGTGGCCGACCTATGGACTCTGTACAGCGTCGTGTCTGGCGGGGCGAAGGGCTGCAAGGTTGTCGAGCGTTCGATCCTTCACACCAGGGTGGTCCTCTTCCCCAGGCTAATTGACCACTACTCCCACGCCAGAAAAGTAAAGTGCGACATCAAGGTGTAGGAGACATGTTCCCACGGACGCTGCTGACGCCTTCTCATGACCTCGCGTGTGGCTGTCAAGTTTTGACAAGGACAGAAAAGGAACTACCAAATAAATGAATTAGTAAAATCTCACGAACAGTGTAAAATTCCATGTCCTGGTTTTTTTTTTCGTTTTTGTAGCAGGATGGTGAAGTTTACAAGGAATGTGCGCTAGCAGAGGCACAAAATAATTTCAGGAAAAAGGTCGTTCCTTTTCAGGTGTCCTTTTTTCTTTTTTTACCAATTTTAGCCTCTTTCATTCAAGTCTCGGGAATTTTTCGACAAGGTCAACATCCACGAGCTTGCCTGCACATTCACTGTATTTTCGTAATACTGTAGAAGTTAAGAAATAGTAATATTAAAAAATAACAAGACGGATGCCAGAGCTTTGAGAAAGGGCAAATTCATTGGGTGTGCCCTGTTGTAAACTCAGCGCGTAGCAACCGTGTGACATTGGTCGACGCTTTTTTCGTGTGTGTTTTTGTTAGTGTGTTTTTGTGAACTCGTTGGTTTACGACTAAACGATCTATAGCTCGCTGATTTTATTATTTCAAAGGAAGAAGTGCAAGTCTTGCATATAGCGCATCATGGCTTTGGTATATATAAAATATTTCGCACAAAAGTAAAAGCAAACATAACATGCAGGTTGTCTCATCAAACGTTGAATATTCCGATATTAAAAGAATTACCGATAAAAGTAAACAGGTCGCCAGAAAAAAGAAAAAAAACATAACCTAACTTGGCCCACGTTTGTCAGTCCGTAAGGACCTAACTTGGGTCCTATAATGAGGATTTCGTGTTATCGGTAAATTCTGATAAACACCAACGATTACGAACCCGAGGCTTTTCTTTTTCAAAATTGTGGAAAATCGTTAAACCCTGAATTGCAGCTGATGAACCCAAGCTTAACAGGAAGGAAATCTACACCCGGAGCTTTGTTTTGTGTTGGCCCGGCACACAGCCCCCAATGAACAGTCCGCGAAACTTCGTGCTTCACTACCACCACACCTTATCTTCTTTCTTCTAATTATCGGCGCTCGGACCTTTTCTAAGCATTGGGGTCACGCGTATGCTCTCCGGGATTCGGGGAAACTATGTCCGTGTCCTGTTTTCTTCTAAATGAGCTCTGAAAAGCTCATATTTTTTGTGCGTCACCAAAAACTGAAAATGAGAAACCCTGAGTTTCAAGATATAAATCCAAAAAACACTATTAAATTTGAAAAAAAAAACTACGAAACCAAATCCCAGAATTAAAAAAAAAACACGTGTTTCCCTAAGACGTTATTTAAGGCCGCAGGAATTTTCTTTGAAGAAGGAAAGACTCTTTCCAAAACGTCGGTGTATTGAAGTTATATTGTTATTAAAATTGCTCTTAGCGAACTAACTGTGCAAACAATTCCCAAAATAGAATTTTCTCTGGTTCGTCACATAAGTTCATAGGCGACAGACATAAGCCAGAGATTCAACGTGACGACAGAGCCATCAGGAAGTAAAGTACTTGTTCGGCAATTCAGGGACAATTAGGTATCGAGAAACTGATCGGTAACCTTCCCAATAATTCTGCCCAGGCCCGGACGACATATCGACTAAATTGCTAAAATTAACTAAGCCTGTTTCCAGTATTCTTCTATGCAAGCTATTCCAACAGTCCATTGACACCGGTGACGTTCCCCCTGAGTGAAAACATGCTCGAGTAAGCCCAATATTTAAGACCGGGGACAAAGATTGCCCCACGAATTATAGGCCCATTTCTCCCACCTGTATTTCTAGTAAGTTGATGGAGCATATTGTTCATTCAAAAATTATGAACTACATGGTTGATAATGGTCTAATTTTTGTAAACCAGCACGGTTTTCGACGGTCTCTCTCCTGTGACACCCAGCTTTTTGAATTTATAACAGACATTCATAAAAACCTTCATCTCCATACTGAAACGCATGCTATTTTTATTGACTTTTCAAAAGCGTTTGACAAGGTTCCTCATAGCCGTTTATTATTAAAATTACGTTCGCTTAAAACTGAAGAAACTCTGATCAACTGGATAGCTAATTTTCTTTCAAACCGAACACAGCACGTCACCCTTAACAACAGTTGCTCGTCTTCTGTAGCAGTTAAATCCGGAGTACCTCAGGAAACCGTGCTGGGTCCATTATTATTTCTCATCTACGTTAATGATCTGCCTTCCCTAATTAAGTCTTCAATTAGATTATATGCTGATGACTGTGTTGTGTATTCTAAAATTTCCGATCCCTCTGAGTGTGCGTAACTCCAAACTGATTTACACGTTATCGAATCTTGGTGTGAAAGGTGGCAGATGCAAATAAACGTAAATAAAACTAAACAAATGACTTTCACTACGAAACGTAACACAATATACTTTCAATACTACCTTTCTGGTAATATTATCGAAAATGCATCAACTTACGAGTATCTCGGGGTTTATATAACACGCCGTCTTTCATGGGAATGCCATATAACAAGCATTGTCAGCAAAGCTAACCAGACACTCGGCTTTTTGCAACGCAACCTGTTTCTTGCCTCTAAGGAAACTAAACTTTTAGCATACACCTAACTTGTTCGTCCCCAGCTGGAGTACGCCTCATCGGTTTGGAATCCCCATCAGTTATTCTTAGAAGAGATGTTAGAGGCCGTCCAAAACAGAGCAGTACAGTTTATTCATAGAAATTATAATCTCACGGCTAGTGTCCGTAATCTTAAAACTCAACTTGGCCTCCCCTTTCTTAAAACACGTAGGACGATATACGCCTTAACCATTCTACATAAATCTTACTATCATCTTCCTTTGTAGAGATCTTTATACTGCATACCTGCACCTCACACCTACCGTCGCTTAGATAACTGCTGCAAGCTTCTTTTATCCATTCCTAGGACAAATATATTTAAATTTTCGCTTCTGCAGCTTTCTATTAATAATTGGAGTGAATTACCAGACTCAATAGTAACAATATCGGATATCTTAAAATTTAGAGAAGCTCTTGCCACCTTTTACGGCCTGTAGCCCACATGTGTATTATCTTTTGTTCGTTTTTTCGTTCGTTTCGAATGAAAATACGCGAACTCTCGCCAAAGAATATCAAGTTTGGTTATACCTCTGCTTCTTTGGAATTTTTGGAACTTGAAGCACCAGAGAAAAACCTAACTTTGCCGTAAAACACTCTGCTACTAGGAGACATATTAATCAGTTTACTCACCCGCTACCGTGGAGTTGTGGCCTTAACTGCGATGCCAATTCGTTTTAAGGTAAAATTGCAGTATTCTGCACTGGATAAATTGACTATCCGATGAACGTCAAACCGAGCAATTACATTCTTGGTTTTGAGAGACCCCTGCTTTGGTTAGCGGTCACACTTCACTGCCCCAGTTTTACAGCCTGGACACGTCGATGCTTTCATACAGACCAATACGTTGTGGTTGTCCGTACATTCGACCGTTATTATTCGTGCCTTTATGGAATTAAGGGGAAACGCCCAGAAAATAATTCCATAAGAAAAAAACATTAAATCAATTAAAAGTTTATTTCACACCAGGCATTATGAAATAATGATGCAGGCTGCCGGTCCAAAAATTTGTAATGTTTGACTTGGGGAAGCCTTTAGGCCGTGACTATTCTCAGAGGACGACCAGCCAACAACAATCAAGAAATGAGCGAAAACAAACAAAATACATATATATAAATAATTCACATGAAGTGTCAATTCTAAAAATTGGCAGGCTGATAACATTCAGCAAACAAACCAAATTAAGAAAACTACCTATTTAATCACGCAAGTATAAACAACAAAAATAAGAAAACCTTTCTTTTTACTTCAGTTATAACCGTTATGCACTGTTCAATAAAGTACTTCCGGGAAAGCTTGATTATTATGCCAGGGAGTTTAGGTGACGTCACCGCTTTAAACCTTAGGTTTACTGGCATGCACAAGAAAATAATCTGCAGTGTACTGGAAGGAGTCAGGAGTCCCCTCCGTCCAAAACTTGTAAAGCTCCTCCTTCAGCTCTCGGAGGTAGTCCGGCCTCTCAGACTCCGGAACCAGTGGAAGCACTGGGTTCACAGCAACGTGGCAGTCTGAAATGATGACACAGGCCCGCGCAACATAACTGTGATCACTATTAGTTTACGACATAAACTGCCCAAGAAACTCGGGCCGTAGCCAACTTAATCGTGCTTCATAAAGCATTTAGAGCGCTATAGTACTTAAGTTAGGACGAGATTGACGAGCGTGTTAGGTTAATACTTAATACGAAGAAAGCAAAACTTAAACAGGGGACCGAGACAGAGATGTACAGGCTTTCAGTTCACAAACAACATTTATTCGAACTCCGCAAACAAAACATCGGCTGGAAAGGTGGGAAAATAGAGGAAGTAGATGGAAAGGAGGTGCAATGACATGCGACGGCAAACCAAGAGCATTCGACTGTCAAAAACCAGATCACCCTCCTCTCCGCCACCAACCCCCTCGCTGTTCCTCCGCTGCAAAGGCACGCTGAGGAACAACAAGGGGGTCGCCGGCGAAGAAGATGGTGATCTGGTTTTTGGCTGTCGAATGTTCTTGACTTGCCGTCTCTGTCATTGCACGAAAGGTCGGCCGCTCTGTCTTCTCCTTGTTCTCGCGGTTATACGCATCCTTTCCATCTACTTGCCGTTTTTCCCCTCTTTTCCCAGTCGATGTTTCTGGCGGCGGAGTTCTGTTGGCTTGGAATAAATCTTGTCGTGAGCTAAAGGCTCGTACATGTCTGTGTTTGTCCCCTGTTTGTGTTTTGCTTTCTCGGTATTGAGTACTCAAGCTACTTTCGCTGTAAAGTATCTAGAGTAGTGTTCAAATACTTAGAAATGTAGTTAAAATATTTTGCAAGATACTTCCGCATTGCGCAGTTTGTATCAACTTCAGTGACGCCAGAATGATTTCTTTGCAATCAACAGAAGCAAACAAAACTCCAGAGTTATTCTTTGCTGCCCCAGTATAGCGAGAAGCATCGTAAAAGATGATATTTTACGACGCTAAAAATCACATTTTGTGCTGGTTTTATAAGCGCATTTAGAACGTACCGGCTTACTCAGAGCCATAGTCACTATATCCGAAGTTTACGCTAAACTAATTTTTAATACACGAAGGAATAAGTGAATTAATCACTGAGCTTTAAAGAAATAGGCCCAGGCGGACAGGGGGAAGCATTGCTACTTACTCGCGGTTGTTCTTTTTCTTCCCTCGATACTAAGCTTTAGAAGCGCATTAAAGTCATCTGGTGGGCTAGTTGGCTATACGTCTTGGTAAAATTATCGCAAAGTCGAGGGAGGAAGAAGGTAGAGATAGAATAGAGCATTCTGTCCGGTCTCTGCGTTCTTCTAGAGTTTAAGGGAGGGCTCTTTTTTCGCATCTTGAGAGCCCATCCGGCTCGTAGCTCGTTTTGCTGCCTCGTTACAATATTTGTAAATCCTGACTCATGATTGGGTTATCACCATTCCCAAAATGTTTCCGAGAGTGCCAGAGTGGCGAAATAAAGTTCCACTGTTGGCATTTTGAGATTGCATATTTGGTTCTGGCTTATTTCCTGTTTTGGGGTCGGTCGTTTCAGCTTCAAGTTTAAAATGAGGTAGGAGAGGCGGTTCACGGGCTTTGATTACTTTAGGTGGAGTAAGTGGGTATGGGAAGAGCGTGTGACCAACTGGTACAAGACTGAGTGGAACGCCGAGCACGTAGCCTCCGCCGTACAAGTCGTAAACGTACGTTGCAAAAGTCTTTTAGGATATTGGTTTTACCGGCTCTCTGGCGAACGTCATTAGCCACTGCTGAGTTACCATATACGTGATGTAAGAGGCTTTTCTTTTTAAAAGACGAGCAACAGTGGAAAATTTCTAATAGACTCAAATTCCCATGTAACTTTTTTTTTTGCAGTCTCTATAAACTGTTACAGTTTTTTCGACGCTGGTGAATAATTCGCATTTAAAGTGTTCAGTACTTAATGGCACTTGGTCATACCACCATCACATCATGGTGGTACACAATCTCTATACGGATTCACGTGGGAATGCGTACGACGCCTTTAAAAATGTGCCTAAAACCGCGCGAAAGCATCAACGACACCAACGCTGAAAGGTGCCTGTCCTGCGGTGCCTTCAAGTTCATTTCATCGTTAACTTAGCAAACAAATAACGACGAGTAAATTAACGGATCAAGTAACGCGTTACAACTCGTTACCGAGTTTTGAGCATCTTAGTAAGGAGTGACGTACCAAGTTATATTTGAGTACGAAATCAACCCCGCTATGCTGATAGAGATCCTTCTATTAAGGCACCTGTACAAGTCTGCGTGATTGTGGAAAGTTTCTAAGCGCAGACATACGTTTACACGTTAAAATATATTACTGTGAAACTCGTTGGACCCTGTTTTCAAATTGACAATGTACTGAACAAAGTCAGTTGTATTACCTTGTTACTTCTTTTGCTCAGACAGACTAACGCAAAATGTACCCAAGCGCGAAAATAGTTTCATCATCGCGCTATAAATATTAGCGTTTGATATCAATTATCGTCCGATATATGTTCATGTAATTTGTTTCAACTCAGGAACTGTACGAAAAGCACAGCTCACAAAAAAATAGCGCTCCGATCATTGTCCAATGAATCGAGTAATATTAGGCATTGAGCGGAGCTTTGCTTTTGTGAGCGCAAATCATGAATAGGGAGGTCCGACTCAAGCTCCTCCTATTCCGTGACGTCATAGAAATGGTGCCTCGTAATGAGCGGCGGAAGACACCAGTTCATCTATGAGCATTTCGCAGCGCAGCATTTACTGCAGTAATTGCGAGCTGTTGAATAATAAAGACAGTCAAACAATGCAGTTAAACTTGAACCTAATAAAACAAAATTCCCAATGTGCAATTACCGATCATTTGGCTCAAGACGTTGCTGCCCTGAAAAGAGCTGATCACTTCGCATGTGCGATGTTTTAAGCCCGCAGATTCCAGAAGACCTTCCATGTACGAAATCAGCGTCGTTTTTTTCATCATGTCATGGCTGGTCGGAATATGCCTCTCGCAGAGCTGCAAAGATTTTGGGAAAGTGACACATTAATGGTAGCAAATTTGATTTTGACAAAATTTTCTAAATGTATTGCATGTAAACATGTGTACTATGGCGAACAGTATGAGCAAGAACTGCGGAGCGCGTGGCCTTCGATATATGCTGCGCTTTCTCGAGTCTGATGAGACTCTGGATTGGAGAGGGGGTTGCGAAAGTGTGTGCCTACATCGATCATGTCCGGACTGGATCGTTCGTAGTATTACAACCTCTTCAGTAATGCAGGACAGCACCTGTATGTGCAATTCGGCACTAGCAGACAGTTGGCTGGAAGCGCCACTTGGTGGCCGGGAGCTGAGCCGCAACGGGAATGTAGCAAGTGCCACGCTATACCCGAGGAGAAGTTGTTTGGATTTGCAGCCATAGGTACAGGAGCGCGTGTTTGAGAGCCGTTTTATTAACCTTGCTCGGTCTGTTCACAATCCACATGGGAGCCAACAGATCTGCCTTTCGGTTTTTGCATTTCGACGTAAATGCCGACTGCTTCGAACCATGGCTTTCTTCGGGTATAAAGTGAGCTCCAGACTATGTTTTTTTTTATGCAGTATCCCGGTGCCTAAACTCTCTGTTTAAAATGCCTGCTGCGCAGTATCGTAGATAAAGATTTATCGCTCGCAGCAAGGTTGTGTCCTCTTGTTCCTCCTAGTGTGTAGCGATTGATCGCTGGACGGCTGGCGGACAGGTACGCCAGAGGTGTTCACCGATGTTAACATGGAATTCGAGAAACAACAGTAAACCACTTTAGTCAGGTGAAACGAAACTTGTTGAGCAGCAGGGTGGAACAGACAGAATAGTTGGGTTGCAGCTCTCCAACGGAGAAGGGTGCACATGCCTTCTCGTAGTACAAAACAGGCCGTACAAATCTCGTCCGGCCATGCTCGGACTGGCACACCCTCGCATCCCCCCCCCCCCCCCCCCCTTTTCAACTACACTGTTTCGTCAGCAACGGGGCAGAGCAACATATGTCAAAGGCCATGCGCTCCGGCGTTCCCGCTCAAACTGTTCGAATAGTACGTAGGAAAGACTCTACAAAATGCCCCCCCCCCCCCCCGCCCCCCCAACCCGCGAAAACAAAATTACACAAGTTTTTTACCTTAAAAATAAACGTCGCGTCGCCGAACGCTCATTTTTCACTCAAAAGTCGCGCTAGCGGTTCTAACTAGATGCAAAAGTTTCCGCACTAACTGCTATCTCATTCAAAACGTATTAATAATTGTCTGGTATATTCAATGGAAAAATGGCGGCTGATAGAGCTCTCGAATACATGGAGCTGCATGGCGCCAGTTACCAAAAACAAAAGAAAACATAGTTAATTTTCCCCCATTTAAATTTTTAGAAAATCGCTTATAACATTTGAATAAGATACGGTTAGGGCTAAAATTTTGGCATCTGCTTTGTACCGCTGGCGCTACATTTGGGCGGATAATGAGCCTTCGGCGATGCGTGGTTTATTTTTGCGGTGAAAAAATATATTACAGTTGTTTTTCTAGTAGAAACGTTGTACTAACTGGGTAATAATATGCAATTAACGTACGAAGAAAAAAAATTCCTTTGCTAGCGAAGCTATCCAACCCTTCATGTTCAGGTACTTCCGCCTCCTGATCATACGCCTAAAACAGATAGCCTAGACGTACTGTCAAAGTTCATTAGGACGGATGCAGCGCAAATCAACCCATATCTCATTATCCTATAACAGGCGTTGTTCTGTGATGAACAGTATCCGCGACTTTTCAAGGCACCAAGAAACAGTTGCGATGGCATGGACATCAACAGAAGTCACAAACCTCCGAGTACTGCTTCCAGCGTTCCATCCGACACATCCTGCGCCACACCCGGAACACAGGGGCCCTGGCAGGGAACAACAGCATACATTCTCCACCAGGAACCATCAGCTCAGCGACGTGCTTCATCGCTGTTCTCTGGTTCTTTACCCATTGCAAACAGAAGAAAGAGTAGACTCGATTAAACCGCCCATGCTTCAGGATCAAGCTCGACGGATCTTGCTGGATGTCGTACACATCATGGCTGATCCGCGGATGGCTGAAGTTCTGGCTGGCGTAATCGATCATGTCCCTCGAGACGTCGACGGCAAGGAGTCTTCGGCAAGGCTGGCAGCGTGGAAGCAGGTGATTCAGGGTCATATCTCCGCTACCGCAGCCCAGGTCCAAGAACTGCTGCGAATCGTTGGGTTCGGCTTGGAAGGACGTCTGCAGAAGGTCCAGCACCCTAAGGTTCATGGAGCGCTGAAGCACGTTGGCGTTCACGTACAACTCGGGAGTGTGAGTTTTGACGGCGTCACCGTTGACCGGTGAGAAGTTTCCGCTTGCGGTGATTTGAGATAAGTCCGTCATGTTGCTCCTTTGGGCTTTCTTTGCCAAAGTCTGTGCAAAGTCTGCAAAAGGAGTGCTAGAACGAGAGGTGCAAGCATACGCTTAAGAGATTTCTTTACTCTTCAGTGTAGTTTTGCATGAACGGTCTGTGCCTTTTATAGATTATATATGGCCTCCTATAACGCGGGATTTCAACTTTGCTTAGATATTGAATGTTTAGTAATACAATAATTGGCCCGAGGGCCTCTCTAAGTAGCTATACTCTAGCGGCGTCCTGAGGCTTGTGATGGGAACCACTGAAGAAGGTGAAGACCGTGCGGAAGGCACGTGACACACTTCTATAATCTGGTCTAAAGTGGGCATAGATTGTCATTTCGTAAATTACGAACGTAACATTTGGTGCCAAAAGTGAAATTCCCGGCATTGCTTCTGACAACCCCAAGAAAACGGTCTACAAGCAAGGACATTCTTTGCGCCAGCGTCATTGCCTCGTGGAGTTGTATGGGCCATTGACTGAATTACCACCAACCACACCAGATCCCTTCGACATGTTATATCATTAAACCTACGCCAGTTGATAGTCACATCGATGTCCCAAGATACCGGGTCATGAAAGCGCGTAAGTGCGCGCTAGGCTTGCATGGTTTTGCGACACTAGTTGCAGTGTTGGGGTTGAAAGCATTAAAAACAGTTATGGTCTCTCCTGAATTACACAATGCCGGTGCATTTCATTGTCGGCGTCGATTCCTCAAAATCTCAAATGTGCTGGAAACTTTGGCACCGACGTACTTTGTGCCTGCATGAGGTTCGTTTTCTGACATGTCGCCACGGCTCTCAATAAGATAACCGCCTGACACCTTGGCATCATGACTCAGCGCATCACTCTTTCAAAAGCGCGAAAGTGCTAGACTTTGGTGCTTCAGGCAGACAGCGATGTGGGCCTGAACTTTTAAGACGTCCGCAAGTGAGCATGAACTTTCGCGTCAAGGATCTGCACGCTGGAAGGACTCATCGCCCATAAACTTTTCAGTAAAACAAGCGCAGGCACACAATCTAACTTCACAGCAATGGGGCGAGATTTTGTAGCAGAAAAACGCTCCCATGAAGACTCATCCCTCCAAGAAAACAACTTCTGAGAGAGCAGCGTGCGTGTGCCGGGAGCCACGGAAGGAGACGAAGACCGTGCAGAAGGCACGCGACAGACTTTTAATCTGGTCAAATGCAGTCATGGACGTCATCTTGTTAATTCAAAACGTAACAATACTATATGCTTACGGTAACGTGTATTCAATTTTATATTCTACAGGGCTGTGTGTTTTTCTCAATGATTGAATTCGAAAACATTCACAATGCATCTCCATTGACCCTAGCGTATAGACTTGTGCTCTTCTCCCGCAGATCAGAGAGGTAGCAGCCTTACTGCCCTGTACGAATTGCTCATGTACGGCAGGGCACAAAATAAGCGACAACACGCAACTGGGCCTTTGATTGCAACAAACCCTCCTTACCTCTCGACTGTCAAATAGCATGAAGACTGAAACTTAAATATGAAGTTTCAGCCTTGCCTTTTAGCAGAGCGTCTTTCTGGTTTACAAATACATATCAAAAGATGTTGTCGCCCATACTGTTTGTGATATTACATCGGAGACGCGAGTTGCCGATTCGAAGCAGAATAACTTCCCGTTGAGTAAGCCTACAAGATAGCTTTAACTCTTGCACTGGTGTTCCTTGGTGGCTGACGCAAACGTTGCGTCGTTGAGTCGTTCGTATTTCAGACAGTTTATCTGATCCTTTTTTTCCCCCGTCCGGAGTACCCCAGGGTTCCAATTTAGGGCCACTTTTGTTTCTGATATTTATCAATTACATTGAAATTTAGATAGCTAATTCAATTGCGTTGCTATTTGCTGACGACATCAAATACTTTTTGAGAATTTGTTCGAGGAATCACTGTGTGCTTCTTCAGAATGATGCGTCGTGTATACACAAACCACTGATCTCTATTACAATGACTGGATCGCGTTTGCCCACTCCGCGAATGCGGCCACTGGCGGCCATCGTTTTGGTAGAGTTATATTACCTCTAGCCAAGGTACAGCTGCAGCAGCCACTATCACCCATCCATGGCAGACAGCGTTGTGGCAGTTGTGATGGCAGGCTGCCATCAAAATAGCGTGGGTGATATTTCGTGCTTGATTGAAATTGTTTGACGAAACATGTTTTTGAAACCCGGCATGAACGGTAGCCCGAACTTTGAGGACCCGGTGAAAGTTTCACGAAATCGCAGCACCGGGAGAAAAGCAGTACAGCACGCATCGAAAGTCGCATCGAAAGAAGCATCGAAAGCAGACGCCGGTACGGAGTCTGCTTTCGATGCGAGCTGCGCTGCTTTCCCCCGGTGCTGCGCGTTCGTAGAACTTTCGCCGGGTCCTCAACGATCAGGTAAGCTTTCACGCCGGGTTTCAAGAATCTGCTTAGTCGAACAACTTCAACCAAGCACGAAATATCGCCTACGCTACAGTGTACTAGATCCACGGCTATATTAGGGCAGCCTGCCGCCATTGCGCTGTTCGCCATAGTACTATGATGGCTAGAGATAATATAACTCTACCAAAAAGATGGCCGACCGTGGCCGCATTCCCGTCCATACGCCTCGCAAGCGGGCTCATTTTCGTCTTCTGCGCATGAGAAAGGAAGTAGCGGTGACGTCAGAACGCCGAGCCCTGATTGCCTGATCGCGACCCCCTATCTGAGCGTCGTCTGCTCCTTTGCAACGTCGTCTGCTCGCAACGTCGTCTGCGTCTGTCTTACCTTTCCTGCGACTTTCGGAAGTGCAAGTCTCTACGAGCGAGCTCGATTTCGCCTTTCAGAGAGGGCAGACGAAATAACTCAAGCAGTACGTTGTTTTTGGCTAACAACTAGCAGACGCGCATCAAGGAGGGAAGTCAAAGGACTCACTGGCGAAGTGTCCCAAGGCGCCGAGGTTTGTTTGCTAAGAACCGAGAGGTGAGCGTGTTAGTGTTCGCAAGTTCCCTCCCAAATACATTTTCCTTCCTTTCGTGTGCGGCTAGACCCCTCATTCTTTAACGGCGTCGGCGGGTTGGCGCAGTTAACGCCGTCTGCTTTACGTCTGCTAGTCAAAGCGATGGCTGCTTTACCTTTCCTGCGTCGGTCGGAGATTCACCGCTTTTTCACCGGCGAGAGTCACCGTTGCCTCGGGAAGCAAGGAGATAACAAGAGGAAGAAATTGACCTCTTAATCTAAAATTGAGGTCAGCGATCAAAGTATAATAAGGGAAGGGTTCACAAGGGTCGCGCGGGCATATTCCATTCAGCACGCCAGCCGGTCGCGGGCAGACGGTCGCCGAGTCACGGAGTGCCTGCTAGGCCTAACTGCCGTGCTCGCTTGGTCGCGTTCAATGGAATCGTGGCCGTTGGAGCTTTCACCGGGTGTTTGTGGATCCCTCGTTCTTGTTCGTCGTGGTCTGTTTCAAGTACTTCTTACTTTTTTCTTGCTGCTTGAAGTCGGGGCGCGTGAGAAGCGCACGTAGAAAAATAAACGTCCGTGGGTCGTCGCGACCGCGACGCTGTCGGCCATGCTGATTTGATCATAAGAACAACGTAAGACAGCTTCGGAGCTGTCGTAGGATTTCGTCGTAACCTGCGCAAAACTTACGAAAATTTCGTTGTGTGAATACGATTTTGTTCTTAAGTTTTGTCTAACGCACATTTTTGGTGTAAGATCGTTTCGTGAATCTGCCTCTGCACTTCCGAAAGTCGCAGGAAAGGTAAGGCAGACGGAGACGACGTTGCGAGCAGACGACGTTGCAAAGGAGCAGACGACGCTCAGATAGGGGGTCGCGATCAGCCAATCAGGGCTCGGCGTTCTGACGTCACCGCTGCCCCCTGCGCAAGAAGCAGACGAACTTGCCCTCCGCATAGGCGGAGCTGGTCAAACGGATCCAGCAAGTAGGCAAATTTTTTAATAATTAATCCTGAAAAACTAAGGTTTTGTAGTACAGTAGAAAACGGGAACCTGTGTCATATTTGTACTCGATTGACGGCAAGATTATTTCACGAATGTCTGCCATTCGTGATCTCGGCGTGCATTTGGATAGTTCGCTTTCGTTCAGCTCCCACGTCAGCCAGATTTTCTGTACCACAGTAAGATTGCTGAAAATGATAACTCGCATAACTCGACATTTTGTGGGTCACGCTTGCTTGCTCTGCTTGTTTGGCTCCCTTATCAGGTCTAGATTCGAATTTGGTTCGATAGTGTGGAATTTTCTTAGTGCGCATGATGAAGCAAAAACGCCAGGTACTCATAGCTTACGACAGACATTTTGGCAGAAGACATTTTTTATAATTATAAACTTCTCCTCGCTAAATTAAACCTTCAAGGTTTATCCGCCGGAAGGCTGACACGTGATATAGTATTTTGGCACACAGTAATTCATAATGATATAGACTCGGAGCTTTTATACAAAGTTAATTGTAATGTTCCGGTTCGTTTTAATAGCAGTGCCTTTTATTTTTACACTCAGAACAATCTAATGTGATCGCCTTTATCTAGAATGCAGATATCTGTCAATATTTTGGAAATGAAAACTTAGATATTTTAATAACTGTGTTGAATTCAAAAGACATTTGCATGATATGCTATTTTATTCTTAGTGGTGTATATAAGTTGCTCGAATGGATTTCTGTTCTGCATATGAATTCATGGTTGTATATATTTTGGCATGTAGAATTTGTGCATGACTTTTTTTTTAACTTTTACATACCAGTGCCGCATTACAGACGTCTGGTCGTTTATGGGCACAATAAAGAGGCATAATGATGCTGATAATTCTTTCGTCATGGTACGATGTCCTTATATTAGTTTACACATCGTGTTACTGATTTAAATCTCATGACAGTAGAGTATTGCTCAAGAAAAGCTTATTTTATTTTCTGGAGTCAGCTAAAATTCAAATATCATAAAAGCGAGACTAACCCCACGTACGGTTACGTTTTTTTTTTTGTG